CGTCTTTATCAGCACAGGTTGCAAAATGCCTGGGAGCTGTGGCCCCAAACCCATAGTCTGGAGCTATAATTATTCAAGAAAAAAAAAAAGTAATTGGAAATGTGATAAGCGACGATTAGAAGGCCTATTTCAGGAAGAAAATGAACAGAATGAGCAGATGCTCATTGCGGCGACTTTTGTGAACAAGGGTGGACAGACTAGTTGAAATGAAAAGTTTCCTGTCTGTCACCGAGGGGAGGGATTTCCCTCAGGACCGCAGCCTCAATGTGTCATCTGCAAAGGGAGCTTACAACAAAACCCACCGCCATAAAACAGAACTTCCTGAGCACAAAGAGTACCTGCATTCGAAAGCTGGTGACCGGTGCGAGAACCCGCGTCCCTCCTGAGGGCACTTGGAGACTTACTGCCAACCAGGAAGGCTCCTGACCTTGCAGTAGCCAGCACTGAAATAACCTCGGCAAAACGGAGCCTGCGAAGGGGGTCAGAAAACCTTGGCTCCTGTTTTGGCTGAAGCGCTTGGGCTGGAGCCCAGAGTCCATGTGCCTTTGAGGAATGACTTTCTCTCTCTGGGCTCCCTTATGGCCAACTCCCTCCCCTCCAGTGCAAACTACATTTTCCTCTTCCATATTTTAGGCTAACGAAGAATCAGGATCTGGAGCATGCCAGAGGCTCCGCCATGCTGTCTTACACCAGCTTTATTTTGTGTTCAATGAGGGAGTGTGGGCTCTGGAGTCTCATTGCTTCACTTCAAATCCCAGCCTAAAGATTGCTAACTGTGGAACTCTTAAGAATAACTCACTGTCTGCCTCAGTGTCCTCATCGCTAACATGGAGGTAAGGCTACCTCGCAGGTTTGTGGTGACGATTAAAGCAGATAAAGAAGGTAAAACAGAGAATAGTGTTTGATTGCTTCTGAATACCAATACATGTTAGTGATTAATACGGATTCACATTTGTGAAACCCTGGGCTTAAGGTGTTCCCCCCACCCCACTGCATGTTAAAATAAAAATAGACCCACTAAAACCATGTTTTTAAGGGTTGGCACAATCTGAAGTCATCTGAAGTACGAGTGTACATTTCATCCATTAGGCAACGCTGTCCACACATATTCATTCATCTTTCAATCGTTCTCATCAAGGCTTTAGACAACATTTATCATGTGAGTGGAGAGCAAGTGGACAATAGAGATGCCTCCACTGAGCAAACAGATCCATGACGGAGAGATGAGAACAATGACCATGCCGTGTGTAGATGGAATAGAACATTTCATCATGGTGAAGCCTCTCATTCCACTGGGCAGGCCAGTTTCCTCAGGAAACAATACAAGGTGGAGAAAAGCACCGAGCATGATTCCAAATTATTATTCCAAATTATTCTAAATTCTAGGACAATTTGGCCTTGCACCCAGATTCTGCATCTGTGAGACCCTAGGCTTCTTTCTTGAGTTCTCTCAGCATGACTTCTCATCTGTAAAACGGGCACAGTATCTACCTCAGGGAACCAGTGGGGGATTAAATGTGATGATGCAGCAGGTAGTGAATGAGCGTTCTCCTCAGATTGTCAATACACGGGGACAGAAACTTCCCTGTTCTACAGGTCTGTAGCATGTGCCCAGATCTCTTCTGTGTTGTAAGTGCTTTCTAGGGTCTACTTCAAAATCTACCTCTTTGTGAAAGAAGTCATTGGTGTACTAACCCAACTTAATGTTGGCCAATATGCATTGCAGGCTTTCCAAGTTCAAGACAATTCGAAAAACCTTTGCATGTATTCCCATCACAATGGTATCTTGTATAGGATGAGACCTGTTTTACATATTTTACCCATTTTACATATAATTAAACTGAGCATGGGGAGGGTAAGTTATTTACTCAGGTCACATGGCTGGTAAATGGTGGAGCAAGTAACCACTAAAATTGCCAAGCTACCAGTGAAGACAGGACGATCACTCACGCCCACAGTAGTATAGGACAATATCGTCTAGCTCAGTGATTCTCAGCTGGGAGCAATTTCATCCCCTAGGGGACATTTGGCAATGTTTGGTGACATTTTTGGTTGTCACAGCTGTGGGGTGGGTGTCAGGAAATCTGCCTGCAATGCACAGGACAGGCCCATTCCCCAAACAAAAAATTATCCAATGCAGAAGGTCAGTAATGCTGAGGTTTGTGAAACCTCAGCATTATTACATTAAATATTTAGAATCTTAACTATTTAGAACTCAGTTGATAACTTAGAAGAAACCATAGAATCTCTCAGATTCCAAAACAGGTAGCCCAAAGTTTGGGCAGCAAATTATATACATTGTTACCAGAAACCCTTCAAACAATGACCTGGAACCAACTGCCTAAGGCATATTCATCTGGTGATGCAGATAAACTGATTAAAATCCCCAAGCAGGATGCTGTGGCTAAGTAGAAAGGAAGAGGGAGGAACTATGACACATGACAGAAATCAAAAAGATATAGTCAACGGCCTGCTATGTGAGGGAAGAAGAAGATATAAGAAACAGACATGAGCTCTTAGCAGCAGCGTTGGCTGTGCCAAGCCGTGGAAGAAGCGGTCATGTGGATGGAGGCAGTTCCTGGGACAGGCAAGATGGCGGCTGGGAGATGTAGAGACTTCATGCCCCACCCACCAATGGCATCTGCTACATCTCATATTATGGATCTTTTTGCGATTGCTTTTTTTTTTTTTTTTAAAGGACTCGAGAATGTCAGTTGAAGGAGACAATACGGGAAATTTGGAGAGAATCTGTCTTGGGACTTTTCCTGCATAAACTTTAGAATAACCAAGTTTTGAGGTTAAATGGCTTAATTACGATGAATGGGATCAGGAGGCAGGAAGCTGACCTGAGTATTTTTGCTTTATTCCATCTAATAAACATTTTATTTATATAAAAGACAAACAATGCATAGAATGAAAATAAGTGCTTGAGACATTTGATATAAGAAGAGTATATAGCATTCACATTCCTATTTTGATACATGAGTACTGCTGAAGTGTTCCATAAAAGAATAAAACTTTCCCTTTATGTATAGTAGTAAAAAAAAAATCAGTATTTTTAGGAACTACAGAATGTTATTCCTTGGTCTTTTTCTTGACAAAGAAATAAGAAATAAAACAAGCCACAGTATCATCTGACACTACATTCCAGTTTAGGCTGATGACCACCCAGAAGTGATAAAGCTCTTTTGAATCTTGGAAAATCCCATTAATGGACCAGTATTCTAGAAATTCACCACTAGAGGTCGATGAGCAACAGCTATTGGGACAGCATTGACAAGCCCTAAGGTGCATGGAATTTCTGGGCATTTCATGGTATTGGGGGCAAGCTGTCCTGAACTCTCTCAGCTCACACCCACTGAGCAAGGTGCCTACGAGGTTCACCTAATCCCAAATCTCAGCGTCTCTGCTAAAACTTCAATGAGATGAGATCTTCCAAAATCCAAATGGAACTGATCTACTCACTGCCAGTCCTCTCTTATATTCCTAGTTGGCTGAAAATAGGTAGCTTCAAAAACATTTTAGAAAAAGAGATTTTTTTTTTTTGCAGCATTAACACTTATTTGTGGATTAACGAGTTCCTATGGAGTATTAAAGCTCATTCTTTGTTCTTGCCCATGTGGACACAGACTTTCTAACTGTAAATGGGATTCTTGGGTCCCACATTCAAGTCCTCGCTGACAAATTCTGCAAAGGGCGGGAAAGCTGGTATGGTGGAGAGAAAGATAACCGTGGCAGAAGCTTCTAGGTAAGAGCCGCCCTCCCTAATGCAGGGGTGGGGGGAAAGCTCTTAATATATAGACAAAAATAGATTTGGTTTACCTCGGACCACTAGAGGGGGTCCCCTTCAGTCCAAAAAAAAAAAAAAAAAAAGACCAACTTCAAATCTTAACGCCAGACTAGGAAAAGGGAGGGACTTGAACTCATATAGCCAGAGAATGACTGACGGAAAGTACATTTCTTACAAAAGGCCTTGCTTAGGGGCGGGTTTAATTCCCAGACTGGGGTGGGGGCGGGCAGTGGAAAATGCAAATGTTTACGTCGAGAAGTAAAACAGCTTTATAAGTGTGTCCACACCTTCGTTTTGTGAGTAATGTGGACTGGGGAAATGTGAAAACCATCCGCTATCTATCCTCACTTGCGGGATCCAGATTTTTTTTTTTTCAAAATCTCCAAATATTTAAAAAGTGGCTCAATTTTGTCAAACGCCGTTCTGGCCAAGCAAAACACATGTTCAGAGTGCCTGAGGAAACAGTTCTGACCATGGCAGAATCCTTCTGACTAAGCCAAAACGTACCTGAGCGTTCAGGAGCCCAGACAGATGGAACCCACTGGTGTTTGCGTAGAAAGCTAGAGATTCAAACCAAGCCTGATGAGAAACTCAACACAATGAACCCTGGAGGGGAGATTTGTTCCCTTTAGGGAAAGTAGCATGGGAGAATAGTAACATAGGTATGCGGGCAGGAGGCAGGGGATGGGGATTAAAGGAAAGAAAGAATGGTCTCTCCTTAGTAGAATATGTGGCCATTTCATAAATGGGGAAATTTGTCCTGATTTTTATGCCTGTGAAGCCTGCGAAGGTAAAAAAATGGGGCTCAAAACTTTTAAGCTCTTAGAGATGGGACAGGGTTTCTGAGCTGGTTGAGGAAGGTGGCTCACAAACCAGATGTGGGCTTGAAGCTCAAGTGAAAAGTCCAGGAGACACAGTGGCACACAGGAACCCCAGCATCTGGTCCCCAAACAGTGTGACTATAATTGGCTCCATAGCCAGAAAAGCCCCCCCCCCCCCCCCCCCCACCGTGCAGGGAATTACTATTTTGCAAAAGCGAGTGCAACGTGGCCACAGCAGGCTCTGAGACTCGGAGCCCCCTCCTAATGCAGAGCCCCCACCTCGTGTAGGCAGAAAACCAGCGCACGTGTTGATTGTCAAGTGCTAATGCTGTCTCGGATCCCCTTCCTTCTGTGCCTGGTTCCGGAGCTCTTCAAACAAACCAATTTCTTGGGATATTTGATTTTATTTTCCTTGTCTCTTTTCAGAGTATGGCTGTATATATATATAGATATAGACATATATAGATATATATATAAAACAGAGCTATTCCATATTTATATACAGGCATTAATAAAGTGCAAATGTTATTGGCTATTGTAAAAATCAATATCATTTCCTGAGGAAGTGCTAACACAGCTTATCCTATGACAATGTCAAAGGCCTAGAATGCTTCATGTCACCCACTCCCGGCTGCTGGTGGTTCTGCTCATCCCCACCAGCTTACAGGGAGGGCAGTGACCCCCTGGGCTTCCAGGAAGCATTGCTTCAGGTTCAGGGGCAGCCTCCTGCTGCCTCTGTTCTTTGGTGACAGGGGCAGCCCCTTCAGACGTAGGCCAGCCTGCCCCAGAAGAGCTATTTGGTAGTGTTCGGTGAGCCATCTTCCGGGATCTTCTCCTCGGAGCAGCTCCTCCCTGAGAGCCTGTCCAGGTGCTCCAGTTCGCTGAAGCGCTCCGCCACGCACTGGGCCGTGAGCCGGGCCTCGGGGTCATGGTCCCAGCACTCGGTCAGAGTCTCGCACACCGTCTGGATGCCCTGCAGTGGGAGAGAAGGCACAGACCCCCTGAGCTGCTGGTTTGCGGGGCTCCACGGACGGCAGGGCGGCCCGCTGCCCTTGCTCCTGCAGTGCAGGCTGGGTGCCAAAGAGCCTGTGCGTGCCCACGTCCCACTGAGCACCCGCTGGGGGGGGGGGGGGGCCAGGGGGGGGGGCAGCCACTTGTGTGTGGAACCGAGGGGCGTGCACTGTCCTGGAAGGCTGCTGCACCCATTTGCTCTCGGGCGCCATTTGATCACGACAGGTCGTGAAATGGGAGAGCTGGCACGTTTGGTCACAATAAGGCCTCTCCAGTAGGCCTCTGGGGTACAGTAGCAGCCCCAATACTGGAAAATTCCCATGAGGAGTGGCCCCTAATGCCCTGTCACCCTTGCCCTAATTTTTTTAGAGCACTTTCTGATTTTCTTGTTTTGGGTGGTTTTAGGTTCATAGCAAAATTAAGTGGAAAGCACAGAGGTTTCCACATACCTCCTCCCGCCCATATATCTTGCCAAATATGCCACATACCTCCTCCCGCCCATATGCCAAATATCTTGCATCCGTGTGGTATATCTGTTCCAATCAATGAACCAACACTGACACATCACTCCCAACCAAAGTCCACAGTTTATGTTGAGGTACGCGTTAGGGGTTCTGACAAATGTACGATGACCTGTACGCACCATTATAGTATCCCACACAGTAAGTTCCCTGCCCTAAAAATCACCCGTACCCCACCACCCCGTCTTCTTCCTCCCTCCCTTGAGCCCCTGGAGACCACAGATCTTAATGTCTCTGTGGTTTTGCCTCTCTAGGGTACCTTATAGTTGGGATCGTAGACGCATTTCTATTTAAACAGCACTGAATACCGCAATCAGAGCGAAGTCTAGGCTTTAGTCTGGTTTTATCTTGTAAAGTCCAAGCTTCCAACTGGTGCCAAGGGTGGTGCCCAGGGCCCCACTGCCCCCCAGCAACATCAAGCCGCACTTCAGAAGCAGCTGTTTTGTGGGTCAGCAGGGCTGGACTCTAGGCTATGTCAGAGGGTTTAGTCCAAACCCATGAAGGCCCCATTCGAAAGGCCCATCCAGGAAATGCTGCCTAGTATGGTGGCAAGGGTCTTCTCTCACGGCTGTAATTTTTATTTTGCATTGCAAATATTTTTATCATTTCAAGCCCTTTTTTTGCAATAAAGCAAGTGGGGGGTAAACAGATGGGCAGAACTAGAGCGTGCTCCTGGCAATTAGAGGCTTGCATGGTCACTGGTGATTCTTCACACAAGTGGCCCAGGTGGACCGGATATATCCCAGCACTCTCCCCTTCAACATCTACTACCAGTAACTTTCCCAACACACCTAGGAGCCTCTCCCTCCCTTCCCGACCTGTGAGTGAATTCATGATGTTGAATTAATTGTATAATTCACCTAATTGACGGTATTGATTGATGGCCTGTTAAGAGTGGAGTGGTATTGTTGGTACACAAGTAACATTTATTTTACTCTGGCACTGTAATTACAGGCAGTAAATTAAATTAAATATTAAGCATTAACTTGAAATCAATAGGGCAACAAATTTCATTAAGAGAAAAAAATGTATTATGCAAATTCTTTCCAGAATTTTATCATCATGAATAATGGCTTCATTACAAGAACTGTACAGCGGAGGAGGCAACAGAGTCTGAGAGAAATAACACCAGGGTCTTCTGATTTCAGAGGTAACACAGAGCAGTGTTGCATTTTTCAGTCAAAGAGACTTTGCCCGAAACCCCGGGGGGCAGCCCTGGGCTACCGTGGCCTGGTTCATGCTCTCTCCGCGGACTTTATTAGGGTCTGTCTGCTGAAGTGGTTCCAGGCCAGGATTGGCACAGACCGGGCTTCCTGCTCCATCTGTCTTCCTGATTGTGCGTGATTTGTTGTTTCTGTTTCTTATCTCAATTTGCCTGGCCCTGAGGAAAACCTATGACTTAGCCCCAGCCTTGACTGGATAAGGGAATTCTTCCAAAGGAGGCAATAAAACAATTTACTCCGTAGAAAGATCAGCTCTGTCAGTGAGAGAGGAGTGCACTGTTCTCTCTCGTTCTTTCTTCACGCTGTCTCCGGGGTATGTCACATGGCCCTGCCGCCCACCACTTTCTTCTTTTTCTCTGACCACTGCCCTCATCGAAATGCTCCCAAGCAAAGAAGTTGGATAGTTCTCCCTCACCCTGTTAAGTCCAGAACCGCTGTCCTTCCATAGCTGGCCTTACCTACCGTCTCTTGAAAGGAAAAAAGCGGCAGCCATGAAGATGTTCCCCACAAACACATTTCCTATTTGTTCACTTGCACTTTCCTACTTCTCTTGGCTTTCTTTTATTTCCGAACTGGCCTCCTCTTTGCAAATTCTGTGCGCCCAGCCCACATATGGCCCTGAGCACACGGCAGTGCGCCCCCCACCCCTGCCCCAGTCCAGCTGGCTGACAAACTCTGCTTACTTCTCACTCTGCTAAGTATTTCCTTCTAGAGGGGAAGATTCCCAGGAGAAAATATTTGGAACCCAGAAGGGAACAAAACATAAACACTCTACGCAAAGGCTTGGGGGTGAGGGGCAGAGGATGCAAACAAAATATTTTAACCCAGAAACAAGCGGGCTTGAATAGTGGGACAAATGCCCTTCCAATGATTATTTGAGAGCCCTCTTTGAATGGAGTATCTACCTGCGGGTTGGAACTTAGAAGAACAGGTCCACACCAGTTGATGAAATTTTCTTAATAAACAAACCCTAACAGGATCATAGAACACAAAGGGACCTGCCCTCAGATTGAAGCCCAATAACCTAAAATTCTCTCCTCCCTCCGAGGCTACTTCAGATAAATCTTATTCTCCCCTCCAAATGGCCACTCCTTACCTGGTGGTTGAGCCAGGAGCTGGGGATTTCTGGTCGCCCTCGGTCTCTCAGCACGTTGTCTTTCATGCTCTCAACACAGGGATGCTCCCGCACCTTGGAGCCAAATGGAGGCTCGTAATCTTTCACTTCTGTTAAAGAGAGCAACACAGGGCCATTGAGAAGTGTGTGTGCAGCTGGGGACCTGAGCAGGTTGAGAGGTCTGGCTGAGTAGCCTGAGGCATTGAGCAGTCTACGGCCATACCACCCTGAACGCGCCCGATCTCGCCTGAGGCATTGAGCATCAAAATATATCTGTGATCACTCTGAGAGCAATTTTTAAGAACAGTAGATTAAAATAAGAAGGAAGGAGGGGTTGTGGAAAGAGCTTGAGAAATATTCAACAGATAACCGTTGAGGGCTTGCTACGTGCTACGTACTGTGCTAACAGTTGGGGACAGCGAAGAACCAGACCAACAAGGTCACTGAGCTTTCATTTTATTTATTTCTTAAATTAATTAATTCATTGATGATTTTAGAGATAGTGAGAGAGAGAGAGAGAGAGAGAGAAAGCACGAGTAGGGGGAGAAGCAGAGGGAGAGGGACAAGCAGACTGCGCTCTGAGCTCAGAGCCTGCCCAGGGCTCCATCCCACAACCCTGAGATCATGACCTGGGCAGAAATCAAGACTCGGATGCTCAATGGACTGAGTCACTCAGGCCCCGCCTGAGGTTACATTTTAATGCAGGCATTCTCAGTGGGGTGATGTCGCTCCAAGGGGGGGCAAAACTGGTTCTTGGGAGGTAGAAAAATCTTACATATTACACTGGTTGGTAGCCCTACAAAGGCCCCAGTACATAAGCAGGTTTAATATGTGGTGGTTAAACTTCATGGGGATATCCAGCCTAAAAGGGAATGAAATTCTGACATGTTACAACATGGATGAACCTTAAGAATGTTATGTTAAGTGAAATAAGGCAGTCACACGAGGACAAACACTGCATGATTCCATTTATGAGGTACCTAAAATAGACTAATTCATAGCGACAGGAAGTAGAAGAGTGATTGCCAGGGACTGGGGGATGAAGAGATGGAGGGCTGTTGTTTAATGGGTACAGAGTTTCAGTTGGGGCGGATGAGAAAGTTCTGGAAATAGATAATGGGGATGGTTGCACAACACTGTGAATGTACTTAATGCTAGTGAATTCTACACTTGAAAAAGGTTGAAAGGGTGAATTTTAGATTATGTTACTTTTCCATGAAGGAAAAAAAAATTGATGTGGAGTACCGGTCAAGAAAAAAAATGTCAGGGCGCCTGGCTGGCTTAGTCCATACAGCATGCGACTCTTGATCTCAGAGTTGTGAGTTCAAGCCCCACGAGGGGTGTGGAGCCTACTTAAAAAAAAAAAAAAAAAGGCAAAGAAAACAACGTCTATAAAGGCTCCTTACCATAGCAATGATGACACAAATGTTGAGCAATGCTATTTACTAGGATGACGGAGGAGAGAGATTAACAACACATCAACAAACAAAATTATAAAATAGGTAATTTTCCTTTAGTGATACATGGGACAAAGAAGAGAAGAGAGAATGATATACCCCCCTTCCCTAGGGCTTCAGGTTTCCACTAAGGTCAATCTCTTTATAGAAACTTCCTTGAATATCCCCCAAGCCATCTGTGGCTAGATGTCCCGGGCAGAGCTTTATTTTAGCCTGTATCATATTTTGATATAATCGCATGTTTATTTGCCTCATCTAAGCAGACCATGAACATCTGAGGGCAGGTTCTGACTCCCTTTTGTCATTCTTCTATACAAGAGGCTCTCAACACATTCTTTGTTGAGGAATGAATGAATGAATGAATGAATCTTAGATCCGGTCCAAAGTGGCAATGCCTAAACTCTAAGTGAAAAGTAAAACAACACACTGATTTAACTGGGTGGATCAACATACATGTCATTGCACAGGACAACCTAAAAGATTTTAGAAAACACTCCTTTACTAAAACGTGTCTGCGCTAGAAGGGGAGGATGGGCTGGACCCAATATTCTTCTTCACAGAAAGTAGAACCTTTGGCCTTTAGCAAAATAATCATGTTTAATAAGTAAAACTTTCAATAATTTGCCCTTCCAGGCTAAGAACTGAAGAAGCTTTCAACGCCCCCTTTGAAAAGGGATAGCTTATTCTAATTGGTCTGTTTGTTTTCTCCCCTTTCCCAGAACCCCACTTGCATATTCATCTTCTGTGATACCTCCACCCCCATCCCCCAACAGAAGAGCAGCCAGGATATTGTCTTTTTTCAGGAGATTTGTGATGAAGGCCTCCCATCACATCGAGACAAGCACAAACCATCCTCCTATGTGTCCGCTTTTGCCCCCGAGTGCCATAACACTTAATCCTTACTGCTCTAGGGGTGAGAGCTGAAATTTGGTCAGCATAATATTCTTTTTTCTTTCTTCCATTCCCTTATCTTCTATAGACTGTAAATTCCTAAGGTCCAAGGCTGAAGCTGAGTCTAGTGTCTTTCCAATTCTCTGCTCAGTACTTAAAATTGTGCCATACACATAGCAGGCATTCACTAGATAGGAGTTGGGTTGAATTCAAACAAAAGCAGAGGACTGGCAATCAGAGCTGGTTCTCAGTACAGTTGACTCTGACCTAACTCTTCTATAAAAGGAAGGGGCTGAATTGGATGACCTCCATGTTCCCCTCCAGACTTATCTTGTAATCCAATCTAATCGAACAATATGATGCCCTCTTAGCGCCATGACTTGAGGTGTGTATATTCTTTTTTTTTTTAAAGATTTATTTATTTATTTAATTTATTTGAGAGAGAGAGACACAGTGAAAGAGGGAACACAAGCAGGGGGAGTGGGAGAGGGAGAAGCAGGCTCTCCGCGGAGCAGGGAGCCCGATGTGGGGCTCGATCCCAGAACCCTGGGATCATGACCTGAGCCAAAGGCAGCCACTTAACGACTGAGCCACCCAGGCACCCGAGGTGTGTATATTCTAATATAATATAATGGGATAGGATTTGCATATGATATAAAGTGCTCTTTAAATAATCTGTCAGTCCACGGAGTCTCCATTTCCTACTATTTTGGCTGCCATAGCTGGTGTCACTGGCTCCCTGCCCGGATCCCTTTACCAAGCCAGCAGCACCAGACCCCAGCTGCCACAAGTGTTGAGTCCTGAGGGCTCACACCTTCGCCCTTCTCTGGAGGACTGCCTTTGGCTGATGAGAGCTGCCTGTCCTGGAGATTTCCAGAAAGCCTTAACCCCCAGAGGCAGCCTGCAGCATATGATAAATTAATGTGGGAGTTTTCATAGTCTAACCCTCTTGCTTTTGCAGGGAGAGGACTGTGGTGCAATTCACCCTCTAGAGCTCCCCATGAGATCAGGCTGAGGCTGGAACTCTCTTGAAACTACAAGTTTGCTGAGCTCCTCCCCTTCCTGTTTCTCTTTACTCTCTTCCCCTGAGACCTTATCCGCAATTAACCATTGCACAAAAATCTGTGTCAGACTACTTCTAGCAAAGCTGGCCTGAGACAGCTGCCAAGGAAGTGCTTTCTCTTTAGGTCAATCTCTCAGCTAAACTGCCCCATCTGACACTAGCTGCAAAGCCACCCTGAGGAAGTCTTGATAGGGCCTCTTCTTGAGAAACTGAATGTACTAACCCATCAACAATTCCCACCGCACAGTGCTCAGAAAGGGGCAGGGGATGACCATGGTCAGGGAAGGAAAATGGCCGCATCAGAATCAATCCCAGGTGTCAATCTCATGGCTGAGATTCCTACACAACAAAGAAAAAGTCTCCATAGTTGAGGTTATAACCCAGGGCCAATTTATTTCATTTTCAGTCCTAATCTTCAAAGTTGCATAAACCACAGTAATTTTTAAGTTCTGTGGGGACCAAAGCAGGTTTCCATGGGGAATCAGGGAGAGCTCAGAGAGGACGGCATAGGGCATCAGGCACAGGCTTGTTTTCTGGGTAAAGGAAAAGTAATGAATGCTCCTTTGGAAAAGAAGACAAAGGCCATAGTCCTTTCCCAGAGTAAAGAGAATTTTTACTGGATTACTTCCTACTTTTCCTAAAACCTTGGAAAGTTGTGAGATTCTCTAGTATCCCTAAGGGGCACGAGACCTGCTCCCAGTCTGTGACTTGTGGGAGATTTTATAGGGAAGGAAGGTCAAGGACAGTCTGAAAGCGGCTGGCGCTGAGCTGAGCTGGGACAGTGTGAGTCTATGAGTCTCCTTCTCAGTTTAAATTAGACAATTCTGGGTGACCATCATGTGACCCAAACAGGCACACCCCAGTCCCTTAACACTGAAGTAGTCTTTCAGGTGAGGAACCAAGATGGAGATTTAAAGTGCATGCATCTTTAAAAAAAATTAAAAGAAGGCGCCTCGGTAGTTCAGTTGGTTAAGTGACTGACTCTTGATGTCGGCTCAGTTCATGATCTCAGGGTCATGAGATCGAGCCCTGTGTTGGGCTCTGCCCTGAGCATGGAGCCTGCTTAAGATTCTCTCTCTCCCTCTCCCTCTGCTCCTCCCTCCCCTGTGCTCTCTCTCTAAAATAAAATAAAAAAAAAATAAAAAAAAAAATAAACTGTATGCATGTTTTAAGCCGACCTTTCTTCAACTCCCGGCGGATGTCATATTTATATAATATATAATATATATTTTCCAAAATAGCTAAGTGGACTTTTTTGTTTTATCGTGGATTTTTGCAATTCCTCTTTGCTCTTTGCCCTCAGTTTAAACATGCTATTCCCACCTTTTTTTAGTCATGCCCTAGAATGTATGTAAAGATGACCTATGCTTGGCAGCGCCTCTCAGTCACCACCTTTAATGTGATTGTAGCAGCATGAAAACCACCATCAGCCAGTGTTGCTTTTCTGTCTTTCTTTCTTTTTTCTTTTTCTCTTTCTTTCTTTCTTCTTTCTCTTTCTTTTTTTTCTTCCTTCCTTCTTCCTTCCTTTCCTTATTTTTCTTTCTTTCTTTCTTTCTTTCTTTCTTTCTTTCTTTTTCCTTCTGTGGCTGTGAAGGCAATGTCATTCTCAGGCCTCCACCAGGATGCAGAGGATAACTGCTGCCAGACATTATGCTGGAGGCTGTTTCTTCCTGGAGGCCTTGTGCTAACTGCTCCTCAG